TATATACTATATACTATATATGTATATGTATTTTGTTTTATATTTGTCGTTCAAACAAAATACTAGAATCGAACGAGCGCAAATAAGGGAGAAAAGAAACATGTGAAATTTACGTAAGGAAAAAATGTGTCATTTTAATTTTTACACTGAAATGCATTAATAAAAATTTTAATATATTAAAAAATCTCAAAAATTGCGAGTCGTTATTATTTATTTTAGCTGGTTTCATATTTCAAGATGCGCCTGGAAGATAAGTATATCAACAGCAAACAGGCGAGATATTCAGCAAATCCTTATATGATTTTATATTATATTATATTTATTCTTAATTTAGCTGGTATTGTATTTCAAATATGATAAGGAAGATGCGCCTGGAAAATATCATCACCAATTAGACGAGATAGTCAGCATAATCTTATTAGATATTTCGGGAGTTACATCGGATCTGGAACATTCAGCAGTTCTATGAACTGCTATACATCTAGAATATGAAGATACCCCATCAAGCCAATGACCATGCTACAGTCAAGTCCGGCCCCTTCACAAAGTACATACAACTTGAAACATTGCATTGCCATTAACTATAGTTTTTATTGTTACATATTACATATACACATACATATTGAACGCAAAAGCTAGAAACTGCGTAAAATTATTTCACTTGGACATCACGCGCACACATAAAGTTTATATAAATCAAATTGTCTTGTCGTTTTGTCTTTTCTTTTTACTGTTTGGATTGTTTGTTTCAAAATATGTTGTTTGCTTTGTTTTGAAAATATTTAAATTTTAATTTATACAATTCATATTCGTTACATATATATTATTATTTTCATTATCGCTTGCGTCCAAAAGTTCATTACGAAAGGATTCGTTTCTATGCACTGCGGGCTGAAGTTGAATTGTTTTGGCAATCCTATCAACGATGTTTTTAACTATAACTTGTAAAAGGTACAATTTCTAAATATCAAAAGGCGAAAAAAAATTGGGAAATTACGTTGAAGGGTTAAAAGTTGGTATTAAAATTGAAAGACAGCATGCCGTGAATTTACAAGGACACTAACTGCAAGAATCAAGCGCTTGGAGGCTGCTCACTCAATGAATTTTTGAGGATTTCTCTGTTCGGGGTATTTCTTTGTTTTGTTGTTGTTGTCGTTTGCCAATTTTAGTGTTCTTGATGTTGTTTGCATTAGTTGGTGATTTCCTTATTGCTGTAGCGGAGCCTGTTCTGTTAATTGAAAAGCTGCGTTGCCCAGAGATTGCTAGGCAAACAGTAGCCAGCCGATGCATAGAAAGGCGAGATACAAAAACAGTCTGGACAGCGTCTGCTCATCGTCGTACTGTGTGGTACCGCGATTAGCAGCTGCAAATGAAAAGTGCACCAGTTAGTAATATAATTATTTAAGGCAATATCCAATATATGCATACTCACCTGCTGGCCGCGGCTCGCCAAAGTTAAGTGATGATGTAAAGAAACCAAAGGGAAAAGCACCAATGCCGAATGATACATGGAAGCTATCACCAAAACCAAACCCCGGGAAGCCAGGCGCTGGCTCGGGCTCTGAGCGCTGCCCGGCAGGACGCGGCGGCACCTTATTGCTGCAGAGCACAAAAGAAATGGATAATTGCAATTGCATGAATGTGAGCCGTTACGTTGCACGTACCGTGGATCCTCTTGGCGTGTGCTATTGCGACCATAAAGTGGTATGACTTTGTCCTTGTCAACGGCTGCCTTGCAAACGGGGCAGAGCTTGCGATTTGGCCGTGTTAGCAGCCACTGATGCAAGCAGGGCCAGCAGAAGAGATGGCCGCACATGCTGACCACCGCATCCTTTGCCGTATCCAAGCATATATTGCACTCGTACAGTGATTCCTCGTTTTGTTCCTTGTCGTTGCTGTTGTTGTTGCTGCCATCAGTGGGTGGAGTTGCTGTTGCTGATGCAGATGCTGCTGCTGCTGCTGCTGCTGTTGTTGTTGTTGATGTTGACGACGATGGGTTCGCCTCATTTGCAGCCGACCCATTCAGATCTGCAATATTGCCGCTGGCCAGGGCGCTGCCCGTGAATGAATATGATGTTGACCTATGGCGCAGCTCCGATGTGGACTCAGCGGGTTTCTTGGCCCAGCCAATGTTGTCAGTGTCCACACGCTCCATGGCATTGTTGTTGTCGTTGCCATTGTCATTGCTGCCGGCATCTGATGATGTGCTAGGCAATTCTGGGGCAGTGGCCAACTGTGGCTCGCCAACCATAGTGGCTGTTGCCGCTTCCATATCCCACACTCTGTATTTACTTAACAAATATACCGCAAGACTTTAGTGGTTGATGGCTTGCTCAAACGTCCCTTAAGCGTGTGATCTAAATTTAAACAAAATATATAAGAAAACACAATTTAGTAAATGCATTTAAAAGCAAGCCGTTTCCAGAATAAAACACAACAGAAGCGAACACAGCGTGGCAATTATAGATATCGTTCACCTGGTGTGAACCCACAACTGCAGCTAATTGGAAATGCCATATATATACGTGTATATGTATGTGTCTGCGTCTGTGTGTGTGTGTGTGTGTGTGTTAGTTGAAAACATACAAATACACTGAAATACCCAATCAATAGTCTACACGTTCCTCAACATAAGCGCCAAATGCTAGACGTCGCCCAGAGAATTAGTGGAATCCGTTCAGATGCGTTACTTGTAATTATTATTTAATTCAAAAAAAAATACTGTTTAGAATTTATGCCAAAATGTAACTTCAATTTTATAATGAAACTACAGATGTGACACTGGCCAACATAACTGCTAGATTCTATATGTATGTATTGAGACTAACCTAAAATAAAGCACCGACTACTGAGACTTAAATAAAAACATATGCTAGCCAGCTTGAAGTCCGTTTGAAAAACATTTGCCTGGTCAAGTTTCAATAGCTAACTGAACATTAGATTAAGCACAGACATACGGAACACATATGTGCATACATATGTACATACAAACATACGTACATTGGCACTCAACTGAATAGGTTAGATTCTGAAGGTTTAACACGTTATAATACTTTAAGCAAATTAATCCCCCTTTTTGATAAAATATATTTTTTTATTATAGAAAAATTAATAATTTATGATCAACAAATTTCAGCTATGCTAATTTTCATTTTATGATTTTTATTAATTTTTTTTTTTTTTCATTTGTATCATCTGAATAATTATAGAAATCTTACTTTAAATTGTAATTGAAGTTGTGATTGTAAAGAGCTAATTTGTGTGGTAACATTAAAAATCATTATTAATTATTATTTGTAAAGTGTACCGTAAAATACCTTGAATGAGAGTTAAATAACAAAAAAAAAATATATTTATAGTTTTATTGAATTTAAGTCAAAACACTACCTAACAAGATTGGGTACAATCAAAATATAATAACATTTTTCTGTAATAGCGGAAATTAGGCGAAAAGATGTGCTACAAGGGCTTTTGAAAAAAGACCTGAACCTATTCAGCTGAGCGGCACTGTATATCGCATGTCATTCGCTACGCATGTTTATCGCAGCAAACGTAATCAAAGGTAATTGTGCGGTACTTAAGTTGAATTCATATGTAAACATGTGTGTACATGCACAGATATGTAGATGTAAGCGAGTATAGGTGTGCCTATGTACATCACAGATGCATTTGTCTCTGTACTGTCACAGTAAACAGGTGCAAAGGTATGCAATTTGACTGCACAACACACAAACGCATTAAACGCATGTGAAACTATTAATATTTTGCAAATTGACAAACTAATTTCGGCATGACTAGCAGTTGTCCTCTGATTAATATCAATATTTTGACTAGAAATTCATACTAAAATTCGACTTTCACTCCAGAACTTTCAATTGCGCGTTAAACATGCTAAAGTACAGAGCGAAGGGTCCAAAGATTGTATACAATTAATATTATGATTATTAAAACAAGCTAGATCGAGATCAGACAGACGGAGAGAGGAAGAGGAGATAATGAACATGATAATGATGAATCACGTGATGCTTTGATAACGACTACACCGGGAACTAGAAGTTTCAATCGACTCCGGATATCACAGCTGCGTACCTGATAGAACCTTAAGCAGTGCTGCTGTTGCTACTGTTGCTGTTGCTGTTCTCTAATGCTTTTCAAATTGTGCAAACAAAAACAAACATGCATGTATGTATGCATGCACATACGTACGTATGTAAATATATAAAAGGCAGAGCCGCCAGGCAAGCTTTCAGCAACTATGGGCGTACTTTGCATCTAACGTACATATATGTATATGTACATACGTGACTTTTTACATGTGTATTTGCCATACGTAAATACACGAAGCATTGCACGTCTGTGTGTGTGAGTATGTATGGTGCATACGAATGTAGCAATGCCCTATCAGATGAGCAGGCACAAACACATACATATACAAATACATGTGCAAAAAAGAACACGCACATACACATACACATATGTGTAAATACACACACGCACACAGGCGCAAATCCATGTATTTTCTACGACACTGTTATTGTTTGATTGTTTTGGTCAAACTGCCACACAAATAGTTTTTGCAATATTTGGCACTCACATGAAATTCCATTTACCGCGTCACACGACTCTTTGATTTAACTGTAAAGATTTTTAATAACTTGCTAAAGCTACATATGTGTTTATTTTGATTTTCCTCAAGGCGAAACTGGTTGGGCCTGGCATACTATGAAAAAACATATGTACAAGTACACACATACATATACATACCTTTTAGTAGCGTATCATATGCCCACGTAATTTATTTGGATTATTACAATATGTGTATATAGAACTGACACTTTGGCGACTAATTATATTACATTCAATATCATTAAAACTAATCCGTATTGCTCGCAAAAAAAAAAAAAAATATTAAGTGGTCAGAACCACAGCGATACCGATATACTTATAATTTGACTGGCGGCGACAATCGAGAAAGCGCTGTTGAATACATCGATATATAATTATTAGCACTTATATCGATAAGTAAAAAGCTATTGCGATAAGATATCGATATGTGGAAAAATAACCATAAAAGCGATATATTTGCATATATTTTTTTCCAAATGAATATTAATTACTGTTAATGATGAAATGCAATAATAATATCGTTTAAATCTCATGGGACACTAAAAATACAAGTCGCTAAGATTTGTCACCTTTCAACCTTTGGACCCACCTTCCAACTAGTTTTAAAACACTAGTTTTGATTAGGTACTTGTGATTTATCGATAAGATATGATGGTGCGATATTTTCCGTTCCCAATTTTAACATTCAATTTTATTTTTTGTAATAATAATAACCGCTTTATATGTGTCAAGCGGTGGAGAAAATTATAATGAAATACAAGAAGACTGTACAATATGTATAAAATTTTAATATATTGGCCGTTAAATATAAACAATTTACACTTGGCGCTATTTCGTATATAAAAAGGCTCTGTCTAAGCTAAGGCGACAATTATTGTCAACAATTAAAACGCAGCAGCCGCGATAACTTGGAAGGCCATGTAAGCGGTAGCAATCAGTGCCACAAAGAAGGAAAGCGCACGTGCGGGCTGAGGCACCACGACAACGGCATAAACCAGGGTATGGACAATGCGTGAGATGCCAACAGCACGGAACAGATTGATGGCCAGAAAGGCGCTGGGGTTCGTTAGTGTGTAGAGCAGGCCGATAGCGAAGAAGGGCAGAATGTTCTCCAGATCGTTGCGATGCGCACGGCGCACACGCTCCACATTGGGGTCATCGAATTTAACCTTCAACTTCGGTGACATCAAATCCTCCGGATTGGCGAATGTCTAGGGAGCCAAGCGAAATAGCAACAACAATAATTGATAAATGCTCTCATAATCTATGCACTTTCACCTGCTGACCGGACTTTGACCTGGTAGCAACGGCTCCACTCTAGCTTACCTTGGTCTTGAAACGTTGGATGGCCGTAAGCAAAGACATGCCCAACATTTTGACCACCAACACACCGGCCCAGAACGTAAAGCTCTTGAACACCGGGTTGCTTAGGGTAAGCAGTTCTAGACTCATCTTTCCAATTTGATTTATTTACACGTTTTGCCAACTAACAGTGACTGAACCGCTTTCGTGCGTTGCAAACTATCAACTGGCGTGAGCGCTGCCTATATTCTTATTATATGCATGTGCGTAGGTATGTACATATATGTACGTATGTATGTATGTATATGCCGGCGTATGCTCCGCTCTTTTGCGCGCCTTTCTCTATCTCTCTCTATACTTCTCTCCTGTGCTCTCTCGCACTCTCTATCGCTTGTACGCTTATGTAGAAAGCGCCGAGTCAGACTGACACTATCAAAACAAAAAGAGCGCACATACACACACACACACACATACATAAAAATATATATACATATGTATATGTATGCATGTACATATATAAACTTACCAAAGTTATAAATCGCATAAGGCCGGTAAATAGGCTCATCGCAAACATTTTAAGCACCAACAGCGCCGTCCAGCCGATATAGCAGCGGAACACCTCATTTTCCAGCGAGATTAGCTCGAATTGCAGCATTGTTTCGGCTTGACATTCACTTGACGATTGTCTCGCATTCTATAGCCTAGCCCCAACTATATGCTATATATGTATGTATGTATGTATCGATGCACTATGCACTTACATTTCTCGTGGGATGTCAATTCAATTCTACCGACAGCTTATCGGCATAATCTTAACTAAACAATTACTAAATATACGATTCATAAATGAACCGGTTTCGCTAGCCCCCTAAAGACATGTGTAACAGAGTCAGTAATATATGTACATACATACATATCTGTTTATATGTTCTTTGTTTACATTTAACCCTTGTCGAACTGGAAGATTGTTAGACTTCATAATTCAAAATCAATAAATATTAATTAACAATAAATTAGTTCACGATATATAAACAACGTCAAGTCCTATTACACTTTATTTAAAAAAAAGTTAGGTAAACCCTATTTTAGAGTATACCTCTAATGTTACTAACGTCCCATTTGCACATCAGAGCGATTAAATGAATTGACAAAAGCTCAAATAAAAAAATAAAAATTACTGTAATTGCCGTGAATTGAAAACAAAAAGCGAATAATTTTCAAATTAGCCCAGATGCAACGATTTGGCGGGGGGCCTAGTATTAGTATAGAAATGCTGACAGCTCTAAAATTACTTACATGCACATTTAGTTGAACGGCATTACGTGAGAGATCATTTAAAATTGCAAATAGAATCGGTGCTGATTAAATTTCAAAATAAATAAATTATTAAGCTATGTGCAATGCAAAAGTCTAGTTTACATGAAGTAAACTTCATCATATCAAGTATTACGTGACTCTGATCATGACGCACTCAGATAAAGTCTTATAGTGCATATAAGTCCTTCAATTGACGTTTTTCCCTTAAAGGTGTTATGATAATTTTATACAGCTTATAAGCATATGCGTATAAGACTTTGAATCAGGTTTATATATGAGTTTTGTACTAACAATTTCTGTGGGACTGCTCAAGCTTAGCTTATAAATACGCTTGTACAAACTCGTATTCTCTTTAGGATTTTATTAGACTGCTCTAGCTCACACTTATACGAACTCTTCTATTTCTTATAAGAATAGCCATTAGATCTTTAACTGGAAATATTTCCTTATGGAGCTTAAAACTCTGCTATTGCCTAGCTTATTAACCAGTTTAGACACTCTTATAAGGAATATAAGACTTTCAATCAGCTCTTGGTGTTATTCTCTTAAGCATTTTACAACACTGATCATGCAAGGCGAATGCGCTTATGCTAATTCTTATAAGTATAAGACTCAATCAGTTCTCTAAATGATGTTCTTTGCAAATTAAAAAAAAAAATAATTTTATAAGACTGCTCTAGTGTAGTTGTTATTAGTTCCTTTAAGTTTTTATGACACTGATCTAGCTCTAAGACAAACTCTTATAATATGTATAAGACTTTCAATTAGCTCTCTAATTCGAGTTTTCCCTTCATATACTCTGAAGTTAAGCCAGTTTTTATGACACATAACTTGTGGCTCGTTAACCTTTTTGTTTTATTTTGTTTAAAGATCAATGCATAATTGAAGAAAAAAAATTCGAATTGGAACTGACAAGCTCTGTTCAAAATGAACTCAAATTTGCAATTTCAGCGAATCTAGAGCATAGTTAAGATCTAGCCAGAGGACGGGCATGGCCCATGGCTACGGTGCTCTCATTCAAGAGACCTTCATCCGAATTTAGTGAACAAATTAAAAATGCCAACTTATGCGCGCAAAGCTCAGTTGCAGCTTAACTCAATCAGCTGCAAGTTTGCTTGAAATATTCCTAGTAGTTGTAGTTTTTGTTGTTGTTGTTGTCTTACTTAAACTAAAGTGCGCTGTAATCTCTCATCATAATCATCATCATCATCGTCATCAGAGTCAGCAGCAGCGTCTCCGCTTTTCATCACTGGACTGAGGCCCAGTTGTGGGTCTGTCAGCATTTTGCCAAAGAAAACCGCAGGCGAGCCGCTCTTCAGAATGAACTGCCTCTTCCTCCAACGATTCTTGAGTGTAATTAATTAATTTCGCGCTCATTTAACTATGCGCCCATTGTTTGCTGCTGCTAAACATAAAACATAATGTGCTGAATTTACATAACATACGGATGGGGCTGCAATTGCAGCTCAGTGATCGTTCCGCATTGGTCGTGCACGCGCGTCGCATTCAACTCGAATTCCGATCGCCCTGGGCGCAGGCTCTGCTCAAAGGATATCAGAAGGGAACACTTGAATTATTTTATTTTTTTTAATTTTGTTTTTTTTTGTTGTGCTTGTGCGTACAATGTCTCACGGTGAACGAAAAGGTCGCCTGAATGTGGTTAAATTTTTAGAATTGGTAAATCAATTTGAATTCTGTTGAAAGTGCAAACGAGCCATAAAAATGAAACAGTTAAACAAACTAAAATCTCATTACAATATAATTTTATGGTTTTACACTTGAACGCATAAGAGTGCTCTAGTCAGTGCCTGACTAGCAGATACCCTAACTGTTGTGCCGAATAGCTAACCAAAACTATATGGGAGTTGCAAAAGAACTCAAAGATATTAACTATATTAGCTCTGGTCTATAGAACCGTACCAGTTAGGCTTACTCAGTGCCTGACTAGCAGATACCCTAACTGCTGTGCCGAATAGCTAACCAAAACAGTATTTCAGTTCTAAAAGAACTCAAAGAACTTTGATAACTCTGGTCAATAGAACCGTATGAGCTAGGCTACATACACATGTATATAATAACAGTATTAGCTTTGCTATTGTAGAACAAAACTTGACTTGCTCGATCAGCTAAATGAGTATTTATGTGCGACATTCCAAGTCTCTAGTTGCTCAACCGTCAGGCTTATTATATACAATATGTAGTACTAAATTAACTCTGTTGCTGATTCGAATTTACATATATATAGGTTACAAGATCTTCTATAATAACCACTTTCAATGGATTCTCAGGGTCAACAGAAACATTGCCTCCTTATAAGAGGCTTCATGCGTATACACATACGTATAAAAGAAAAGTAGCTATAATCCCTATCGTGAAATACTATGTTCTTTAAATATTGTGTGATATGTATACAGTACACATACATATGTACCACACGTACATACCTATATTACACATACTCGCACTTATACAATACAATTATAAGCACACTTCAGTTAAATATACCTGCATATGTACGTGCTTCACTTTCAGTAAACAGGAGTTTTCTATTTCGTTTCTAGATGATCTTGCAGCTGATCGCAGCGCATGCTATTAGCTTTATATATGTGTATACTTGTACTTGTATTACATATACGTATGCATACCCTTATGCCATATAGAAAATATTATAAGTATACTTAAATTACACATACTTACATTTCAGTAAACAATCAGGAGTTTTCTATTTTCTATKTTCTAAATGATCTTGCAACTGAACTTAATATATAAGTTATATATATATTAACATTTCTAGACTAAACATTTCGCTCTGCTTCAATATTTTTTCTTGTTTTTTAGGCCTTTTCCGTTGCCTGCCTAGTGCTGCACTTCTATAGCTTTAACGATCGCGACATTATGACCTCGTTCATGGCGACGGGTACATTCACTGGGTATATTATCGTCGTCATAGGTGTGTTCGCAGGTAAGCCCCAATCAATCCGCATGCATGCATGAATCCATTGGCAGTCATTATCAATGCTTTTATGTCGTCCAGGCGTACTGATGCGTGCACCCATTCACAAACGCATCGACATCTTCTTCAGCGTTCTGGGCTGCGCCCTGTTTGTGGCTAGCGGGATCTTCATAATCGAGGCCTGGGAGTTCTCGTTTCGTACACGCACCCGGGATCTGGCGCTGATCAAGGCATCACTGTCCATTGTGAATGGTGTGCTGTTTGGCTTCGATGCGATCTTTACATTTCGGGATAAATAATAGCTATCATGATCAACAGACCCCCACCCACCCACATTTGACGCTGCATTTACAATCGTATTATACTTAAGAGACAGATACTTTCTGCATGCATACATGCATACATACATACATACATACATACATGTTAGTTATGAAATCATAAATAATGTGTGACAAATGTAAAAGTAAGGCAAAAACAAAAATTAGGAAAAGGGACTTTGCTCTATTGCTAATACATAATTTGTTTTTATTCTTTTCACTTTGCTTTTAAATAGTTTTTACAATTTTGTGTGCAATTTCATGTCAATAAAAAAATATACATGTGTATAATATATATATAAGCCCGCATTGTGCATTAAAGGTGATTACAATTAGGCTAAACACACACAATACACACATACACACACAACACACAATCAAACACAGAGAGTGAGTGAGTGAGAGCGCGCGAGAGAGAGAGAGGGAGACACGCCCTCACTTGTAGCGGTACATCAATTAGCTGCTGACATGGAAATTCATGAAAAGTAGCTTGGATGCGTTTATACATTGTTAAAGTAGTTAGATTTAAATTTTTATTGTGTTTGCTTTGTTTTTGCTTTTGTTGGTTTTCCATGATTCATTGACGTGAGAAAAATATGCACGTCGTCTTAAGTCATCATCACCATCATCATCATCGTGTTCTGGGGGCATCTTTGGATGTTGTTGTTGTTGTTGATGTTGCTGCTGCTGTTGTTGCTGCTCTGAGTTGTTCTGGCGTTGTTGTTGTTGTTGTTGTTGTTGATGTTGATGTTGATGTTGTGTTGCGTTGTCTTAGGCAGAATTGTGTATGTTAAGGCGGAAAATATCATGAGCAACGAAATAGGTACCGGCATTGGCTTTCAACACAAACACCTGAGAGAAAGCGTGTGGAGGATCGTCGTCGCACTGTAATTCGATTGAAAATGCATTCACATTATATAATATGTCAGCAGTATATATATATATATTATAGCAATATTATAAAGAGCAATAATTGCGTATCATGTGTGCGGATCAATACGTGCACAAAGATTCAACAAATTAGAAATTAAGAAGATTGATTAGAAGAAATTTGAAGGAGCAAAACAAAGTTGGGAACAGATAAATAGACCAAATATACGCCGCATGAATGAATGGATATCTTCGGTGCACCGAAGCTCAAATACTCTTGCAGGAAATTTAAATCAACTATATCTCATGTACACTATGGACTTGCATATTGATATCGCATATATAAACAAGAACTTGATCTTCGACTATTCACTGAGTCCACTACATAAATAAGCTGATACGATAACATTTTTGTCATTCTATATTCTAAATAAATCATATAAGACGATAATATACATATATGTATGTATATATTTATATATTGCTTGCTATTCATTTACATTGATAGTCCACTCTTGTACAAAAAATAGAAGCTTCTATTTAACAATTTTAAAATACAGTATAATATATATACAGTATCATTGATCCGCTTTGATCATAACGATCTCATCAACTTGTATCCGGAAGCCACGCACTCGACAACTTGACTGCAAGGACACTTCATCCACATTAACTGATCCGAGGCGAAAAGTGCATAGAAGAAGCATCGCCGCGTAATAGGTACCGTTAAAACCATGCCAATATTTGTTAATACTTTCAACAATAGCAATGACAATAACCTGCCTGTAGAGTAGAGCATAATGATCGCATATTGGCGCATCCGGCGACAGGATGGATACAGCTATAGTTAGGTCTGTCTATGTATGAGTGCATATATGTATATGTTTGTATTTATGTACACAAATTGTTGTTTTGTATGCGAGTAGTGTGTGTTGATTGTTAGCATGGTTCAATAGAACAGTTATACCAAAAATATTTAACTCATTTAGTAGTAGGTCAATGTGGCAGTTAACTTTTTGTTACGATTAGATGCAACAGAATGCTGTTTACTTTGCCTGGCCAGGATCGCTCTCTGAGTGTGATTTTGATTGTTGTTGTTGCTGTTGTTGTTTGCTGTAGCTGTTGCATTCGGTCGAGCTGATTGCGATTGGCTACACATTGTGCAGCGCAAGCCTAAAGATGTCGTGCTGCACAAAGAAGCTAACGCCCACAGGTTTCAGTACAAAGGTCTGAATATACGCATGCGGCTGATCCTCATCGGTCTGCATCAATATAGTCATATATGTATATATATATAGTTTCATATATATATGCAAACCTTCTTTATATATATATATATATCGTTTTAATGCTCAAAGCTCTCATATGGTTCTCACCTGTAGTCGTCCGAGGACATTTATCAAAACACCACCATCAAATGTGGGCTGCGAATCTACCGTTGTAATTACTCGAGTGATCTTTTGGAAAGTGAGGCTCTATATTACCAAAGAAAGAAACAGAAGATAAAACATCGTTTGCATTTCAATTTAGCATTACTCACCTGGACTTTCTCAAGTATTTTTGGCGCTCCTTGGATTTGGTGTCCTTCGAAAGTCATAAAGGACTCCGTTGCCTGGGAAAATGAAATGAGAAACATTTATAAAAATTCGATTAGTTTGTGAGTGTGTGTGTGTGTGTGCGCGTGTATGTGTGAGTTTGTGCATATACATATACAGCAATGTA